TCGTTATTATAATTAAACAATAATTGAAAATATTTAATTTATTCTAAAATACTAGTTTCCATCCAGTTTTTCAAGCATAGTGAAGCTCTAGTCGTTTGTTCTAGAAGACAGTTTCATGTAAGATTAATTGTATGTTTCGCGACAGAAAAGGCACGCTCACACGGAACGCTTGTAGCTTGAAGTGCATAGTAGTTAGCCGTGATAGAAGCTATAGTTGGAAAATAAGAAGAATTATGCTTCCACCAGGTCAATGGATTACTATCTGGCTCCGAAGGTAATGCAAAATAAGTAGCTAGTTCATTTGTTAAATCCCTCGCTGTTTCATTTTTATTTAATTGAACTAATTTACGAAAACTATTTAATGAATTTTCTTGTTTAGGTGATATAATCATCTTATTATTATAATATATTGAATATAATATTTTTAATTGGTCTATAGCTATTTGGCAATCCTCTTCATTAAAGGTTTCTAATTTAGTTGACGGATCTAGAAGTGCAGAAATCATGGAAGATTGTGAAAGATAAGGCCAGTAATTTTCCAACTTTATTTTCATCTCTTTTGTCATTTTATTATATGCGCTATTATTATACATGTAAATATAGCGATCTAGGTGTACAAAAAGGCCTTGGACGATTACTTGCAAAGACCCAAGAGAAGGCTTTGAAGCATTTGAAAATATTAATGTTGCATGATAGAAAGGTTTAAGAAATTCTAACATGTTTTTAATTATTTTCCAATCGTCTGATTCTAGATATTCATTTTTTAGATAAGGATGTGACTGCACAAGACCATCAATAACCTCTTTAATTTCAATAAATCGTTTCAACATAAGATACGTAGAATTCTACCTTGTATCAATGTCGAGTTCGGGATAAAGAGAAGGATGATCTAGAATGGCAGATATTTTTTTGATATCTTCTAGAAGCAATAGAGAGTTCCTAATTTTATTACAGAAATGCCGTATTTTTTTTATTTGGCTCTCATAAAGTTTTTGACCTTCCTTTACAATAAGGTTTAAAACATGTGTAGCACAACATACATACATAAGTTCAGAGTTCATATTTTACTGAAGATAATGCAAGCAGGTTTGATTATTCGACGCATTATCTCCAGTAAACCTGATAATATTATTCTTAATCTCAAAGTCCTCTACAAGATCAAGGATTTTTTCCCTAAGATAATTGCCTGTGTGAAAATCGTGTAAAGGAATAAAGTCAAGGAAAATAGTACGCATCGTCTATTCAACATCGATCCAATAGACGGTTACTCTGAGGAAGGGCTGTTGAGTGCATGCAGTTCACATATCTATAGTAAGAGCTAGTTTACTCTTGATATTTTTTAAAAGGTCTTTTACTTTTATTTTATTAATTCGAATTGTTTTTTAATATCTTCGGAAATGGTTTGACGGCAGGGAATCTTGTAGCGTGGATCAAGAGCAGAAATAAATTTAATGAAGCAATTCTCATCCAAAAGTGAAAAAGGCTGTTGACTAATTATAATGAATTCTAATAGAGATCGATCTAATAATTCTATGCAATGTCTATCAACAACTGAATATGGAGAAGGGCGAACAAATTTTGTAACAGACTGAAATTCTCTAAAGGTATTTGGATGTTTTTGTTCAAAATAGCGCGTTACTGTCGATAACAACGTGAGTGAACCCCATCTACCTATAGCACCTTTATCTTTATCACAGGCTTTACAAATTCGAGTGCCATCTTCAAGTGTATTGAGATACTTGTAAATAGGTGCGAGATTTTTTTTTTTTTTTTTTTTAATTTGTTAATAGTTTGATTCAGACTACTGATATTCTCAGAAGAGTTTTGAGCATATGTAGAAGATTCAGAAGACATAGTGTGAATAGGTTAGATTAACGTAAAAGCAACAAAAATAGGCAATTTATATTAAATATTTTTATACTGAGAGGTTAGACCAGTATCGAATGTAAGCGACAAAAAACAAGCACTTTTATATTTGATTTTTTTTTTTTTTTTTTTTAATGTACGGTATATTTAAATTTGACAATAATAAACCTTTATTAATAATGGCATATTTTACAACGCGAGTGGTTGTATCTCAAATTTTATTTTATTTTATTTTTTTTAAAAAAAGAAATTTTATTTTTAAATGTACAATATATTTAAACTCGACAATATAATAACGGCGCATTTTACCGTGAGCGGTTGAATCTCAATTTATTTTAGAATGTTAATTTTTAATAGTAATAATATACTGTTGTTTGCAATAAAGCAAAGCTATATGCAAATCTCAAGACATTGTTAAAAATATATAAAATACAGTATTAGCTGATTATAATTACTATAAGTTTTGCAAATGCACAGTTCAAGTTACTACAATTATTTAATATATTTTAATCCCGAGGAAGATGCACTCGAGTTCTGACAATATTTACCTTGTAAGTTCTCTAGATTTTAATGTTAAACAATCGAATTAAATAATCATACAACTAATACTATTTTTCTCTACTCACTACAATAGGCTGATATTTTTAGCTTAAATAATGTTATGCAGTTTCGCCAACATGGCCAGCAGTGAGAATGATTATATTATTAAAATCATTAATTTAATAATAATGAAGTTTAACAATTAAATTTTTTTTATAAATTATATAACTAAAAGTGAACTATTAATTTAACAATTATAGTAGAATGATCTCTATATTATGAGGCTTCTTGTAAGAATTTAATATATGTATATAATCTAACAATTGTCAAGTTTTGATCAAAAAGTCCCAAATAATATAACCGTAAGATGTTGACCCATGTAAAAAAATATAATTAAATAGTATTAAACTTGATTATTTTAAGATTCACTTTTTATTGAC